ACCCTGTTTGGAACCTGTAGGGGGTACCCTGTTTGGAACCTGTTTGGAACCTGTTTTGGAACCTGTTTGGAACCTGTTTTGGAACCTGTTTTGGAACCTGTTTGGAACCTGTTTTGGAACCTGTTTGGAACCTGTTTTGGAACCTATATTGGAACCTGTTTTTGGAACCTGTTTAGAACCTATTTTGGAACCTGGACTATAATGAAATATTTGTGAAATGTAAATAATGGGGGAGTTTCTATTATTTTACATATAAAAAAACAGGGGCGGATCCAGATTTTCTTCTAGGGTGGCCAATAAAAATCAATTGTATATAACATTCGTATTCTATTTTTCCAGTCATATTGTCCACAAAAAAAAAAATTACATTTACTATTGTCCTCGACGGGGCTTCATATTGGATCGTTGCATGACCATCTCTTTATCAACACTGTCAAATATATCTTTCTCAACGTATGGAATTAGACTATCATTCAAGAATTGTCTCCCATCCGATTGCGTAAATGAGTTTTCCACAATTTTCATGGCAGAAAATGCCCTCTCTACACTTGCAATTGCAACTGGTAAGGTTAAAGCCAATGTGATGAGCAAATATACCAATGAGTAAAAAGATGCTTCTTCTTTTCACCCATTTTCTGAGCAAGACTGGTAATATCATTAGTTCTGAAAAATCACTATTTGAGCGCATATCATCAATGTAATTATCAAGTTGAAGTTCGTGCCATAAGATCAGTAGAAGAAAATTCAAGTGGATAAAATTGAGCAAAACAACTAATTTTCCTTATCAAATGCTTGAAAGCAATCACTTGGATTTAGGGAGGCCATGCAAATAAGTAATTTTATATTACCTTCATTAAAACGACTGTCACTCTGATAGTTGCAAATCTTTATGGTATAGAACAACTCAACCGATAATGAAATAAATTTGTCATCTCTTGACAATTACGCCGCGATCTCCCTCGTGCAACAAATTTCTCTTGCATATTTGGCATATCTATTATGAGCAATGCAAAATTAGAAACTTCATCAAGTAGATTATCCCATCCGTTATTTCTTATCAACAATAATCTTCTTTTTGACAAGTGAACCAAAGACATAGCATTTATAATCTCTTGATCCTTCCTTTGCAATGCTTGTGAAAGTTCAAATGTGATTCCCAAATGATTTTCATCATGTGCAGGTTAAAAGCAAAATCAAAAGAGTCATATATCCCCAAATCACTTGCTTCAACTCGATTATCAAATTTTCAGTAAGATCCTCAAGCACTTCAATAACAGATGAAACAAATTAATCAAGCTCAATAAAGTCCCATAATGTGAACCCCACCGTGTTTCCCCTGGTCGCTAGACTAGTATCTTGATTAGACCTTGTCCTGTTGAAAGCTCACCACTTTCAATAGCTTTTTTCACCTTCAATGCTTGTTTCTCATTAAGAAGATCCCTACGTCTAGTGACCATCCACAATATTTATCACACAAGAAACTTTCAAAAAAAGTCTCTCAATATTTGTATCCTTTTTTGCCCAGCTACAAGTGCTAATTGAAGTTGGTGAGCAAAACATGCACATAGAAGCATATTCATTATCTTTCAATATAAGTGCTTTAACCCATTACTGACCTCGCATATTACTCGCACCATCATAACCTGGTCCACGTAATCTTGATATGCTCAAATTGTATTTAGAGAACATGATTCGATTCCCATCTTAGTGACCAAGCGTCGTATCCGTGACATGCATATGCTCAATAGACACTCAACAACCATCCTTTTTTATTTACATAACGTAGATAATTGCCATCTGCCTTTTGTTGGATACATCACGAGCTTCATCAACTAGTATAGAAAAAAAGCATCTCCAAGATCACTAATTAGTTTGTTGACGGTTTCAACGCAAGCTTGATTATATCTTTTTGGATCTAGAGCAATCAATTTATCATGTCCAGGAGCATTCTCCAATGCGACTATCTATATTCTTCATTTTGCTCAGCTGTATAGTGTAAAAGTTCAAGAAGTTTCCCCGATTTATTGAATTAAAACCATCATGGCCACGAAAAGGCAATCCTGCCGAAGAAGAACCGACTAGCAGAAATTGATCCTTTCAACCGAATACGATAATCTCTCGCTGTTGGTCAGATTTCTTATTATAATTGTACTTACATGCTGCTTTTGTTCATCAAGCTGACAATTTTCACAGCTTGATTATGATAGCTGTTAGGTCCTCCAATAGGATATTTAAATTTTTCAAGTCTCTTCCAATTGCGAAACCCATCAAGAACAAAAGAATCACCCCCACTTTGCTCACCTATATCTGTTTTGAAAAGATAACAACATAAACATATGCAGCATCATTCTCAATACTATCCCACAGTAAGGATATTGTCAAACCAAGAACATTGGAACTCCGTTCATGATCACCAGTTTTGATTTGGGAAACTTATGGTTACGGTTGACAAGGACCCTTTTGTGATAACCCATTCTGACTTGGTCTCAAGACATTAGGATGATAAAACGTATTCTTGGTCGAAATCCAGGATCAAAGGAAGATTTTCCAAGTCACTTCGAAGCAATTTTCTTTGAAAAAGGTTGGTTTTCATGATCATTGACACCAAACAAGTTGAGATGTCTCAGCAATTGTACTTTCTTTTAAAATATTTTTCCATATCTAAATAAAGAAATAAAATTAATACAAGAATAATTAACTCACTCATTGCATCTATAATAACTATAGAAATCTAAATTTTCCAACTTAAAGTTTTTTAATCATCAACTTAAAGTCTTAAAGATTTAAACAATACATAAAATAAAACCCCCTTGATTCTATCTATATTTCTATTCTATTGTCTATATATTTTTTCTTTCAAATTTTGGGACCACAAGAAATCATTACCTATCACAAATATTAGAATCTAAAAACCCCTTTTTTCCTGAAAGTTTTCTCAATCAAAATTCATGCCACTGCTATTATACTAATACACACAATAACAAAAAAACACTATACACAAAGAAAAATACTAACCAGAGAAAAATTACTGATAGAATTTTGTGAAGAGAAGATTAGGGAGAGGACCATCACACAGAGTTGTGGAAGACACCAGCGACCACCGCCTGACTACACTTGCTGAGGTTTGCAAATTGCAACTGCAGAGGAAGATTATAATTTCACCGTTCATTAAAAAATTGAAGGTGGGCGGTGAGCAGTTTTTTAGTACTAAAGAGAGAGTGGGCCAAGACTTTCAATTCCAAAATTGAGAGTGGGCCATAATTTTTTAATATTTTACAATAAAAATTAAGGGTGGGCCAAAATCAAAGAAATAAAGATAATGTATTTAATTATTTTTTTATAAATTGAGGGTGGGTCATGGCCCCCCTTAATACACTTTCCATCCGCCCCTGGTTTTGAGAGTATATTTGATAAATAAAATAAAAAAATAAGAACACAAATATGACATGTCATGATACATATCCGCTCGTTTCAGTACAACACAAAGTCATCATTCTCTTTGGTTGGTGTTAGCCAGACTGAAGAAATAGCAGTTTTGTAAAACTACAGATCACAAATGATAACGGTGTCGTTTTGTAAGTGAAACTTTACTTTTCATCAACTGAGTTGGGTTTACTCTTTTGACAAAACTATTCTTGTCTATAAACAGAGCTCTGTTTCAGCTCACTTTTTTTTAATCAAATTCAAAAGAAGTATTAATGAGTTCTAAATGTTTCAAGAACTCTTTCAATCTCTATTTTTCAGTTTCAGTTCCACTTGGTATCAGAGTAGAGACAAGCGTCGATGGCAACGATCCTAACAATGGATGTCTTCCTCAGCTCCAACGGAGAAAAGGCAGAATAGTTTAGCGAGTCCTCACCTCTCGGTCTTTTCGTCAACCTCCAGGTCATTACTCCCAAACTCACAAGAGACAACTACACTGACAATTACTGATTCTGGCGATCGCAAGTTCTTTTTTTCGTGGAGCACACGAACTCGAAGAATCTGACAGTTTAATTCCCTATCCAGCTCCCTATTACTTCTGTTTCTTGTTCAATTGAGTTGAGTGGTTAGTCATCTGAAACCCTAGCCAAGAAAAGCTGAATCCAGGTTATGTAACTTGAAACGAACTGACAAGTTCCTTGTTACTTGGCTTCTAGCCTCAATTTCTGAGTGCATGTTCACTCTTGTTTCAAAGTGTCAGTTTGCCTCTGAGTATGGTTTAAACTTGAAGCTGATTTTGTAACTGAGTCAAAGGCTAGAGCCTTACACTTAAGAATTTGCTTCAAATAACTCAGAAAGGAATTTGAATATTCATGAGTATGTAAAGAAGATAAGGCTTGCTGAAAGCTTGTCTGCTAGTGGTCAAGTGATCTCAGATACGATCTTCTGCAACACATTTAGATGGTTTAGGTCCAAAGTTTGATGTTGTGCTTGTCAATCTGACCTCCAGGGTAGCAGCTAAGATTGATCCAGTTTACTTTGCAGGAGGCTCAGTTTTTGTTACAGAAATGTGAGTTGCAGCTTGATGGGTTTAACTCTCTAGAGTTTCATGGAGTTTTTGTTAATGTTGCTTCTCTGGGAATTCAAGGGTTTAAGTGGTCAGAATTTGTTACCAGTTAATACTAATGTTTCCTCGCATCTACTGGTACATCTGGTTTGGTTGCACATGTCAGTCTCAAATGCAAAGCTTACCTAATCCTCCCATAGGATCTCGAATTATTCTAATTGGTCTGCTCCTTAAGAGTCCAGTTCACTTCTATTGATCCTGGCTCGCACTGGGACATTTGGTGGAACTCAGGTCACGTTTATCCTTCATATAGACTGTTTTGGGGAGAGGCAAAGGAAGAAGTAATGGCAGAGACAACATATCTGTCAAGTTTTGTCAAAATTGGCCACACAGCACTTACTGCTATCACCGTTACAACTCTACTTCACTGGTGTACCTCCTTAAGGAGCATGATAGGACAAGGTGGCTCTGGTTCCTTTAGTTGTTACATCGTCCAAACCTAGGATTTCATATGGTCTTATGGACTGCATCAGGAAATCAGCAAAGCTATAATGCTGGCAGTTCTTATGGTTCTCGTATCGGAAGTCAGCATGGTATTGTTCCTTCAAATGGACTTACGATTCATCTCACTCGTCATTACAAGTTCCAATTAACCTGCTATCTCAACAACAGCACACTGATCTGTGAGGCAAGCCATCTTTCTTCATCAACAGTAAGGGTTTCATGTCCCTAGTCACAAGGTTCATACCAAAATTCAGTTCCTAACCAGCTTTTCTTGTGTCCACACCTTCCTTGACCATTACCCTCAACACATATAACTATCCCAGAACTGCTCCTGTTAATCCACCTTGGTATATGGATTTAGGAGCTACTGACCATGTTACCCCTGATCCTACTCGGCTAACTTCCAGCAAAAATTATGATGGGTTGAATAACTACAGTTGGCAGCGGTGAGTCTCTACACATACTCATATAGGTTCAACTTTTTCCTATTTCATTTCACTCTAATTTTTACATTGCGCAATGTGTTGTGTGTTCCTAGAATAACTAAAAATCTTCTTAGCATTTCTAGGTTCACTAAGATAATCAATAACTGTGGAATTTGACTCTGATGTTGTGTTGTTAAGGACAAGGCTACCAAGGCAGTGTTACTGCAGGGAGGACTTAAGGCTGGTCTTTACCAATTGCACATACCTCTTTGCTTTTCTTCTGGTTACCACTACGATGGTCTATAAAAGTCAGCTGCTTTGAGTCCTAGGTTTTGTAATACTTTGTTTTCAAAAAGTCAGTAGGCCTGATAGTCAGTATACTCATAGCTTACCTCAGTTAATTAATCCTACGAATAGTTTTCAAACTGCTAATGCCAACGGTAATATACTGACTAGCAGTCCACTAAATGATTTAGTTAATCGCGATCATGGGTTGCAAGTTTCTCAATTACTTTGTAGTAACAAAATCCTATCTCATGTGCAATATTTGTAATCTTGATGCTATTAATAAGATACAATGTTTGCAATATTCTGATTCAAATTGTGTAATTATGATTCTGATACTGATGTTGTTCCTATGTTACTGTTACTAAAACTGATATTTCTAATTGCACTGATTCTGAAAATGTGAATGAAACTTTTGATATAGTTGATATTTCTGACTTAACCTGATGATCCTCCTGATATTGCTGTTTGTTCTATAGGATCAAATCTGATCCTTGTTTTGTTTGCATATGTCTTCTGTGTTTGGTGTTGCTACTTCTGTGTTAGATGCTGGTGTAAATTCTACATGTCTAAAAATCTTGCTCACAATTCTGCTGTTGAAAAATCTGATTATGTTGCTGTAAATTCTGAAATTTCTGAAAACTTGCTCACAATTCTGCTGTTGCAAAATCTGACACACTCCAACATTATCCTATAGCAGCTAACCCTATAGTTTTCCATGCTAGCAACACTAGACAATACCTGTCCCTCTGGCTAATCGCCTAGACACCCTCATTCTGATGTGCTAAGTAAGATTTTACCTCACATTCATCCATGACCTTCAGAACCTGCTTATCCTTGAATTTTTGTGATCCATATAGATTAGGAAATACATAGAAATCATTTCCTAGTTCCCCTTAAGCTACACAACCCCTTGAAATTGTTCATAGTGATATTTGGGGACCAGCACCAGTAGCTTCCTTAGAAGGCTTCAAATATTACATTCATTTCATTGATGACTACAATAGGTTCACCTGATGTTTCCCTTAAGAACCAAAGCTGAAGTCCATCTACTTTCAAAAATTTCACCATCTAGTTGAGAGAAGCTTGGATGTAAACTCAAACCTTACAGTCTGACCAAAGGAGAGTATAGAGGCTGATACCTTATCTTAACACTGTTGGAATCCACTTAACATTCCTGTACTTATGTGCATCAACAAATGGGAAGTGAAAGGAAGCATAGACATATAGTAGAAACTGGTCTTACTTTACTACCCCATGCATCTATGCCTTTACATTTTTGTATAGCAGGTTATGTTATTCTGAGTTAAAAATCTTTGGTTGTGCTTGTTTTCCATTTTTTAGAATTTCATAAACACAAATTGGTTTCCACTCTTCTAAATTGTTTTTTTGGGTTATAGTTTAGTTCATAAGGTTATAGTGCCTTAGTTTAGAGGGAAAAATTTCATTACTCCTAATGTTCAATCAATGAACTAAAGTTCCCTTTTGTACTGGTTTTGGTCACCCTTGTCCAGTTCTTTTTCTTCTTTACTCAAAGCAACAGTTCCTGATAGTTCTTCTACTATATTTCCTTTTGTGTCTATTCCATTCTCCAATGGTATAGTTAGTAAAGTCTCCTACAGTGGATTGTTCTGTCCTAATCCTTCCTTCTCACCACTAACAAGTCAGCTCCTAGTTCCTTATTTTAGGACACTAATACAAGTATTCCTACCATCTTCCACCATCAGCAACTCAATTTCAATTACTCCATCTCACAATCTCAATAATTCCTTCCTCATTCTTACTTCCATTCCATCATCTCTTCCACATACTTTTCCTTTAGAAGTAGATCTCTCTTGTTATCATCTTCTCTTCACACTTCCAAGGTCCAAGCCTTTTATATCTTCAAAGTGTGCACACCAGCATAGAAACACATTGATTGCTCTCTTGTAGTTAACTTAACTCCATCAAATGTCTTCAACCTGAAAATCTTACCCATGCTCCTGAATTCTTTAATGATTACTCATAACCACCTACAAACACTTCTGACTACTGACACACATCCCATCTCACCAGATCCAAAACCAGCAACTCAACCTCAATTGACCCTACACTGATCTAGTCTTTATCTATTCCACCAGAATCTATTACAGTGAATAAAGCACCTGAATTTCTTGCCTCTGTTAGTCAGAATCAGCCTACAAACCAGCCCCTGACCACTAATACACACACCACACACTCACCAGGTCTAAAACCACACCCAACCTGCACTGCACTTACCCTGTCAGTCCTTACCTTTTCACCATAACCTCTAGTATAGTGACTGAAGCTCTTGCTTGTGATGAGTGGAAAAAGGCCATGGAAGAGATTTTGATGCTCTCATTAGGATGAAACTTGGAGTCTTATTCCTCGATCTGATATGAACATAGTTGGTAATAATTTGTGTTTCGAACCAAATTTAATGCTAATAGATCTCTCCAAAATACAAGACCATTCGTTCTAAGGATTCAACAAACTCCTGGCTTAGATTATTTTGAAACTTTCAACCCTGTTGTTAAACCAGCAACCATTAAATTATTTTCACATTGGTTGTCACTTATGGTTGGGATATTCACAATGTGATGTGAACAAGGCATTCCTCAATGGTCATTCGAATGAAACAGTTTGTATGCGACAACTGAGGGGTTTGAGTTTCCTCATTTATCCCTCATGTTTGTAAGCTCAACAAGGCTCTCTATGGTCTTAAACAAGCCCTAGGGGGTTGGTTTGACAAACTTAACAAGCCTGGGTTCACAAGGATTTCAGAATTCAATGATTCAAGCTTGTTCATTCTCAAGGAAAACTCTCAAGTTTTATATGTCCTTATATATGTGGATGACATCTTAATAACTGGTTCCAGTTCATCTGCAATTCGCAGCTTGTTCATAATTTAAACAGCTACTTTGCCTTGAAAACTCTGGGGCTATCACATATTTTTTGGGTTTAGAAGCAACCAGGTCAGTTGCAGGTCTCAACTAAAACAAACCAAATATGTCCATGATTTGCTTGTTAAAACTAAGATGCGAGGCACATGCTGTCCCACCCCTATGGTAGTAGGAACTAAACTTTTTGCACTGATAGAGTGTTTTAAAGATCCTAGCCCTATAGAAGCATTATTAGAGCTCTTCAATATGTCCTTTAACCAGCCTGATATTAGTTTTACAGTGAAACAGCTTAGTCAATATCTTCAGCTCCTACTGAGTTACAATGGCAAGCTTGTAAAGAGTTCTAATTATCTAAAGGCACTCAATTCCATAGCTTGCTGTTTCGACCCAACCTTTCTCAATGTTAATGTTTATACATGCAGATTGGGAGGTATTTAGATGACCGACGGTCTACTAGTGGATATTGTGTGTACCTAGGTCCTAATCTGGTTCAATGGAGCTCTCGCAAGCAAAAAGTGGTTGCTTATCGTCTACAGAGGCTGAGTACAGAGCACTAGCACAAACAGCAACTGAACTGGCCTGGTTGGCCAGTTTGTTTATTGAATAGGTGTGTCTCTAAATTCTTGCCATGTCATTTGGTGCACAATGTGGTGCTGAGCATTGGCATCAAATCCAATATTTCATGCAAGAACAAAACATATTGAGATTGACACTCATATTTCATGATCAAGTTCTTGCAAAAAAGTTATTGTGCAATATTTCCTACCAAGCTTCAAATGGCTGATGTTCTGAAAAAAACACTTTCCATTAGTAAGTTTCAAGAGTTAAACACAAACTCTATGTTTTTGAGGCACCACATCAGATGCTAAAGTTGACATAGCCAGAACCTGTTTAATCTCTGAAGCAGTGTAAATTTGCTCAATCTGCTCAAAATTGTGTACAGAAGTATCAGAAATCATCTCTGAAACAATGTAAAATCTGCTCAAAATTGTGTGCTCAGAAAATTGTGTTGAGTTACTATTGTTGCTACCATATTTATTTTTTGTGATATGATGATATGAATGCAGAAGATGTGTGTTGCTGCTGCAATACTGTTTGTGGTATGATGATGTGAGTGCTGAAGTGTAAGCATGAAATTGAAATGCTATTTGTGGTATATTGTGTGTATGTTCTGTTTGTGTTATGCATACTAAGTGAAAGCATGGATTGGAATGTGTATTATTGTATGTAATGGGGTAGTACTGCTGAGTGTTGAGGTGTAATGTGTTGAGTACTGTGATTGTAATGTGTGAGTACTGCTGAGTGTGGCATAAAAATGCATGTTGAAATGTAATGGTGTGAGTACTGCTGATTGTGGCATAAAGAGATGCTGAGTAGAAGGCTTGATTAGTAGGAATCAGTTTTCTGTTTCAGAAGCATTATTGTGCAGAAGGCATTATTGAGTGTTGGGTGTATGGTGTGAGTACTGCTGATTGTGTCATAAGAATGCTGAGTAAAGCATTGATTAGTAGGAACAGTTTTTGTTTCAGAAGAATTATTGTGTAGAAGGCATGTTAGTAGGAATCAGTTTTTGTTTCAGAAGCATTGTGCAAAAGCATTATTGTGCAAAAGCATTGGTTTAGTAGGAATAGTTTTGTTGCATTGTTTAGTAGAATCATTTTGTTTCAGGAGCTTGTGCAGAAGGCATTCATTTATTTTTGAGAAAATGCAGAAATGAGAAAGTACAGAAGGTGCAGGGTTTGCGGATGAATGGCATGATAGAGTTTTTTTTTTTATCAATAGTGTAGAAGAATTATGCAGGAGCATAGTGCAGAAGCACTTCATTTATTTTTGAAAAAGCGTAAAAATGAGAAAAGCTAGCATTAAGGAGGAATCAGTTTGAAAGTGTAGAAGTATTCTACAAAATAAAGTCTAGAAGAAAATCCAACACAGTCTTGAAGTTTCAGCAACCGTGGTTCAGTCTGAGGGGGAATGTTAGCCAGACTGAGAAAAGGGTATCCTTTTGTAAAAACTGCAAATCACAAATGAATGAACGGTGTCGTTTTGTAAAGTGAAACTTTACTCTTCATCAACTGAGTTGGGTTTACTCTGTTGACAAAAACTATTCTTGATTAAACGAGAGCTCTTTTCAGTTCACTTTTTTTAATCAAATTCAATAGAATAATTCACGAGTTCTAAATGTTTCAAGATTCTTTCAAGCTCTACTTTTCAGTTTCAGTTCCACTGTTTGCTCGGTATTTAAAGAACCTAAAGGACAAGAGTTTAAATACCATAGAACGTCGTTCTTGCTAAGGTTCTATGTCTTTTTTAACCTACTCAAAGTCTAAATGGTGGATTGGATCCTAGATGATTGGTTTTAAAAAAAAAAAAAAAAAAAAAAAAAAAAAAAAAAAAAATCTCCTTTAGAATAATAAAATGGAAATGTTAAATTGAACATAAAGTTTAGGCCAATCGTTGAAGATGAAAGGACATCGAATCCATATGAAGTTTTATCATTAAAATACTCCGATGGTTGAAAAGTTCTTAATGTTTGTTGAGCTGCAATTTTAGTGTTTATCTTGCATCCTATTTACCCTCAATATAAATTATATTGTTGTTGTTAGAGTTGGTGAACTCTATTCAACGTTAGATACCCATTTTTAAAGTGCAATGGAATATTTACCGTTGATTAATGGTTATCAAGTTAAGCATGAATCAACAACCACAAGCGTATAGATAAAGCACAACAACATATACATGGTTTGGCTAAACCCACTCTTAGCCTACATCTGTAGGACCTCGTCCAGATCAAAGCTAATCCACTATAACAACAAACATTGCAAGATACCACTCAGAGTTGATCTTAGCTACAACAAAGAGAATTCCTGTTCTACGTTACACTAAACCCCACCCTTTGAATTTCTAATGATTTGTCGCTTCTAGGATCACTCCACCCCAGGAACCCTCCCAATAATGCTTGAGCTCCACCAAGCTTCACTCGATAAGAACACCTCTAGCTTCCATGGCTTGAACTCCTTTCAAGCTCTTAGCGTAGGAACCAAGTTCCAGCAACACAACTTTTTGCTCTAAGGTTGCCCAATAAAGAAGATGTGAAAGATGCAATGGAGAAAGTGTTGGCGCTTGACCAAGCATACCCACTTCCCTTGTTAGGTAAAATGATTGAGAAGTTCCCTAAAACATTTGAGCCTGCTGTGTGGTGGCCGTCAAACCATTCCCAGGCAAGCAACAAAAAATCATTTAAAAGCGGGCAAAGTAGCTCGAAGATGGAGAAAAATGGATGGAGTGAAGATCTGGAAGAGGAAATGAGAGAGATTATTGAAGTGTTGAAGAGAAAAGATACTGAAGATTACATGAGACTAGGCAATCTGGCGTTGAAGATAAACAAGATTCTAGCCATCTCAGGGCCATTACTCACCGGCATTGGAGCTGTCGGGTCGGCTTTCGTGGGGTCTCCTCACGGGTCATGGGCTGCTGTCGTTGCGGTGGCTGCAGGCGCATTAGCTACCACAGTTAACACATTGGAGCATGGTGGACAAGTCGGTATGGTGTTGGAGATGTACAGATACTGCGCTGGCTCCTTCACACTTCTGGAGGAATCAATTGAAGCAACTCTCAATGAAAGTGAAGTAGAGAAGAGAGTGAACGGAGAGATGTTTGTACAAAACGTAGCTTTGAAGTTGGGAAGAAGCATATCACAGCTGAGAGATCTTGCCGAAAACTCAATTTATTCTCGCAGTAATGGAGCCGAGATTGACGAATTTGCAAGCAAACTTTTCTGATTTTACCGGATGTAGATTTATTCCTTGACCATACGTATTCTTTAATTGGTTCTGAACATGGACAACCGAATTCTTTGTATAATTATGTAAAGAGAATTGACTTGATGAATTTTTCGTTCTTTTTACATTTAAAGTAATATTTTTTTTTTTTTACTTTTTCTAGTATTTAAAAAAAAAATTATTTTAAAAACATTTTTGGATTATTTTAATTTGATTTAACCACAACCAATTGTTTTGCACATTTAATAATTCTTTATAAAGCACTGAGGGTGCATATTTTAATTTAATCATATATTCTTGATAAAGAATTGGGGGGCAAATATACTATAATGTTTTGAGAGTATATTTGATAAATATAAATAAAAATAAGAACACAAATATGACATGTCATGATACATATCCGCTCGGTTTCAGTACAACACAAAGTCATCATTCTCTTTGGTTTGCACAGTATTTAAAGAACCTAAAGGAGCAAGAGTTATATATACCGTAGAACGTCGTTCTTGCTAAGGTTGTATGTCTTTTTTCAATCTACTCAAGTCTAAACGTGTGATTGGATCCATAGATGTTTGGTAAAAATAATCGTAATAATAATAATAATAATCTTCTCCTTTAAGAATAATAAAAAATGAAAAGTGTTAAATTGAAACATGAAATGTTGGGCCAATCGTTGAAGATAAAAGGACATCGAATCCATATAAAGTTTTATCATTAAGATACTCTGACGGTATGAAAAGTTATTAATGTTTGTTAAGTCACAATTTTGGTGTTTATCTTGCATTCTTTTTACCCTCAATATAAATTATATTGTTATTGTTAGAGTTGGTAAACTCTATTCAACGGTAGATACTCATTTGAAAGTGCAACGGAAGATTTTACTAAATTGATTAATGGTTATCAAGTTAAGTATGAATCAACAACCACAAGTTGTAAAGATAAAGCATACAAGCATACATATGGTTTGGCTAAAACCACTCTTAGCGTACATCCATGGGACCTCGTCCAGATCAAATATAATCCACTATAATAACAAACATTACAAGATATACTAAACACCTTGTTCTATGTTATACTAAACACCACCCTCTGAATCTCTAATGCTTCGTCGCTTCTAGGATCACTCCACACTAGGGACACTCCCGGACAATACTTGAGCTCCACCCAAGCTTCACTCACTGAAGAACACCTCGAGCTTCCATAGCTTAAACTCATTTCAAGCTCTTAGCATATGAACCAAGTTCTAGCAACAACAAACAATAAACAAAGATCAACAAAATGATTTAAACATTAAACCATACATGGAACCTGTCAAGGAATAGACTCTCTGAAAATTTTAGAGCACAAACAAAATAGTATCCAGGCTCGAAGATGCAAGGAAGAAGAAGATGGGTTTAAATAATCCTTGCTTGACCAATCTCTTTAGGACAAGTGGCGGAGAATCTCTTTCAATTTTTGTTGGGACCACAAACAAAAGCTCACCAACTTTGCACAACCACAAGAGGAGAGGCAAACACCTATAAAAAGAAAACTCACACAAAAACCATGAAAGAGATAAAACTTGATGGGCAAGATAATATGAGAAAGACGCCACATGTGCAAAAAGAATCAGAGTATAAACAAATACAATATCAAAGGCTGGCTTTACAAATAAGCAAGAATGATAATGGCCAATTTCGTGCTCCCGAATTTTTGCCAAGTCAACAAACAAGGGCTGACATATGTTGGTCTAAAAATGAAAAAAGATTACATCTATCTTTTGGGACCACAACCAAACTTTTGAGACCACAATCAAAAAGGGAAAAAGTTTGATTTTCCCTAGACCACTAAAGGATATTAGGACACTTGTAAGTGATCCAAATAACAGCACAAAAATGCAAAAGAAATTATCTTAGCTGTTAAGTAGAAAACATAACTTGTGCAAAATGAGTCAGACATGCGATGTTAGCATAAAAGAAAAGTGTGCGCATACACGAAGTAAAATGCGAGATGAAATGCAACATGCATATGTCTGACTTTAGTGTGCACACACAATAGTTGTGCACACAGACAACATAAGTTTGACTAAAATATTCAATAGTTGTTTTAACTCAACTCCCAATATTGAGTTTTTTTTTTTTTTTTTTTTCCAAGGGTGTCTGGACCAGCTTATGCACACCTTAATTAATCTCCTGGGACTCTAGAACTATTGACCATGTAAAAATTCTAATAACTACCCCTATTAGCAACCGAAAAGAGACTCAAACTCAAGACCTTTTGAGCAATATATCCAAGAGTTCTTATCAAACTACTCGATCAACCAAAGATAGTTTATTGAGTTTTTGTTACATCTTTGGAAAGTAACTCAGTCACTGTAGCAACTGAGTTATTGATTCCTATTAATGCTTAGACCAATAAATTTGCACTGCTGTAGTTTACGTACATTTTATATGCCAACTATTTACGAGTTAGACTTAGGGGGTGTTTGTCTAAGCTTATAAGCTGGTCAAGTTAGCTTAGACCTATTTGTTTATAATTTTTTTGAGCTTATAAGAAAAAAAAAATTGGGGATACTTTTTTTTTTTTTTTTTGCTTATAAGCTAGTTTGACCAAGTATATTACCACATTATCCTTGTTTAATTTTAAAATTTCATAGTATACCGTTGTTTAATGTAGTACGCTTTTTAGTCATTTTATAATAAAATGTACTTATAAAGCACATTTTACCAAACACATCAACTACTTATCAGTCACTTATAAGTACTTTAATTAAACACGTAATTGCTTAAAATTTCAAATGCTTATAAGCACTTGTTGCTTGCTTATAAGCTAATTTTCATAAGCTTAGACAAATACCCCCTTAGACCAATAAATTTATTGATTCCTATTAATGCTGCTCAATCATCATCTTATTTATTTGTTGAATGGTAAGTCACCTAATGGCATTAATTTAATCATATTATTCCAATAAAAGTCTTTTGGGTTGTCAATATTTTCAATATTGACCTTTTCTCTTTTACCATATCAACAACACAAGTCGTTGTCTATTCATTCATTAAAACTTTTACCATATCACTTCAATCCCATTTTCTAAGATCAAGAAATCAAAAATCTCTTCATTATATTGTAAACTAGAAGATGAATGAAAGTATGGAACAAGTTGTACGCGTAACATAATTATACAGTAATGAATTTTTCATTATGCTTCATATGTTGGAGGTTAATTATTTCTTGCTTGTATTATATTAAATATATATTCTCACAAACTTTTGAATTGTCTAAGTTTCAAACTAGATTCATCAGATGAGGTCGTAGTTGAGACTGTGTGGTTCAAAAAACATGGAGTTGAATGAGAAATCAAGCCCTAAATTAACTAGTTGAACCATCCATATACGCAAACAAATTTAGCAGCAGAGATAACAAGTTAGAAACGGGATTGGTTGCAAGGATTTGATGATCAAAGAATGTCGAATTTAAACCTTGTATTTGTTAATTACCAACCACATTAATGGACCTTCTTATAAGTTAAAAGACTGAGAGTCTTTTTCATTTCACATTTTACTCGTTTGTGCCAGCTAGAACGACGATCAGATTCATTATCCTTCCCACATGTATATATAACTTTCACCATCACGTTCTGTTAATGTGTTATTTACTTATTTATTACAAGTTTAACTAAATATAATAAGTAAAATCTCAAAGGAAAATGATGAACCAAAGATTCAGAGCTAACTCATAATACTCAACCTTTTTTAAACCCTTTGAATGAAGCATACTCCAAAAGATTTGATACCCTGATCCTAAAATTTGGAGGAAACCCACCCACGGCTAGCCCAGTGGGCAGCAATTAATAAGGGCATATTAAGGGGGTTGTGCATGGCTTTAACCCTTTGATTCTCCAGTAGATACAAAGATAATATATTTACTCATGATTTATCTAAGGGGCCGCAACAATGGGTTGAAAAATAGTCTAAATGTGCTTAAGTTGACCAGACACCTCAGTTAACAAAAAAAAAAAAATATATATATATATATAATTTTTTTCCTTATTAGATGGAAGCAACGAATTAATAATAGGATATAAGGATTTTACAAAATATAAATAATTGTGTATTCAATGGAATTCCTAATTTAAACATGGACAGTTGTATTTTAAAACGAAATATGTCACTTGGATAGTAAAAAAGTTTGGGATCATTAAGTTCAAGTACTCTTGCGTACGTAGGAGATAATCTTGACTTGAGTGGGGGAAGAAAATTACAAAGAGAAAAAGTCAGCTTAGGCCAAGTCACATTCCAAAACGCACCCAGTCCAGTCAGCCGACGACCTCTTCTATATATCTTTGATCAGTTATAGTTCGTTAGTATAAATACTGGCAGATACCATACACAAACACAATAACAATCACAAACAAAGATAATCAAATATCAGATACCATTCATGGCTTCTTTACAAGTTTCAGATAGCCTTTTTTATTCATCTTCGTGTCGCTCTTCAAATAGAATAAATGCTGCTATATCTGTCCCAAAACTCCCAAGAATCAGTTTGTCTCCTCCAAAAAAACGGAGTATAGACTTGGTTGAGCAACTGAGGATGAGAGCTAACAAAAATACAAGCTCAATCCCAGTAGAAAAGATTGTCCCTAGCACAGCAATACAAGAAAACAATGCTGACGACTCTACTAATTCAATGGTGACAGCCCAACTTTACGCTATCTTAGAGTCTGTTGCTGATAGAGTTGAGATGCACAACAACCTGGGCCAGCAACGTGACAACTGGAACACCCTTCTGTTGAACTCTATCAACATGATTTCTCTCACTGCTACCACCATGGCTGGTGTTGCTGCAACTGGTGGCGCAGGCGTTTCATCACTTTTGGCTTTGAAGTTATCATCAACTCTCTTGTTCTCTGCAGCCGCTGGGATGATGGTTATGGTGAACAAGATTCAGCCCTCACAACTTGCAGAAGAGCAACGTAATGCAGCAAGATTGTTCAAGCAGCTCCAGAGAGAAATACAAACCGTCCTTGCTCTAAGGGTTCCCAGTGAAGCCGACGTGAAAGAAGCAATGGAGAAAGTTTTAGCGCTTGACCAAGCATACCCACTTCCCTTGCTAGGTAAAATGATAGAAAAGTTCCCTAAAACATTTGAGCCTGCTGTGTGGTGGCCATCAAATCACTCCCAGGCAAACAATAAAAACACATATGAAAGAGAGCAAAGTAGCATGAATACGGAGAAAAATGGATGGCGTGAAGATCTGGAAGTGGAAATGAGAGAGATTATTGGAGTATTAAAGACAAAAGATACAGAAGATTACATGAGACTAGGCAACCTGGTGTTGAAGATAAACAAGATTCTAGCCATCTCAGGGCCATTACTCACTGGCATTGCAGCCGTTGGGTCGGCTTTCCTGGGGTCTCCTCACGGGTCATGGGCTGCTGTCGTTGCGATGGCTGCAGGCGCATTAGCTACCACAGTTAACACATTGGAGCATGGTGGACAAGTCGGTATGTTGTTGGAGATGTACAGATACTGCGCTGGCTCCTTCAAACTTCTGGAGGAATCAATTGACGCAACTCTCAATGAAAGTGAAGTGGAGAAGAGAGAAAATGGGGAGATGTTTGAACAGAAAGTAGCTTTACAGTTGGCAAGAAGCACTTCTCAACTGAGAGATCTTTCCGAAAAATCAATGTACTCTCGCATAGATGGAGCCGAACTAGAGGAGTTTGCAAGTAAACTTTTCTGATCGGAGATAATTTACATTTTTTTATTCTTGTGATAACAAATATATATCCAGTGTGTAATCATGTATAGAGAAGATATTAATGGCCTCTAATTTAATAAATTATTTTTAAACTTTCATACAACAGAAACTATTTCATTCCATTTTCAGATATATAAGACATACTCCTTAATTATTGCACTTCGACTAATCTTCCAAGGTCTTGAAGTTAGCAATCGGAGATACTCTCAAATGATCATCTCTATTAACAATCGAGGTGACTCAAACTTAAGACCTCTTGAATAACACACTTAAGAGTCCTTGCCTGGCCACTTAAGAGTGGTTTTATCATTTCAATATTGCCACTTTCAAATTTCAAATAGTAGTTTAATTTTATGTATATAAATATATTGTCAGTCTCAACTATGAACCTTATTAATTGACTATTACAATTTATCGCTGGTTAACATAATGGATAAAAGTTTAACTTCATGTATTACATCAAAATTTACCCCAAAAAAACAAAAATTATTTAATATTTATTTTAGTCACATTTTTTAGGTTGAAAACCGAATTTAAGGGCTTAGAGAAAACATAGAGAAAAGTGTTATGAACCGGAATTCTCTCCCTCTTCAGAGAGAAAGCAATCTTATTCAAAAACTACTTCAGGTTGTATGGTTTGGGAAGGTCCAACTTTCGGTTGCTGAGTAATAGTTTTCTTAAAAGAAGGAAAATCTGTATTATAAGAGGGGTTTTGCCCCCATGGTTGATTTTATAAAATACATATATTTTCTATATCTAAATATTTTTGTGTTTATATATATGAGTAGAATTGTCTAGGTTTCAAACTAGTGGGGCGAGGCTCTGTAGACAAAATGGTTGAATGGTTAATAAACTTGTAAAAACTGAAGAAGTCAAAAGGCCACTCAACGGCTATGATTATCCGAGAAATTTTGTCTTTTTGACTAACAACAAAATCGACCCCTTATTACGTCAAACTTTTATCTGCATATTTATTTATGCTCATTTTTTTGGTTTTCTTTAAACCACTAATCAAAGGGCTTTGCTAAGATTCTAGTTAATTTTACCCAGTAAAAATCAGATATTTGACCAGCTGGATTTTGGTAATCAGATATTTGACCAGCTGGATTTCGGTAATAGCCGTCAAAAGTTCAGACATATTCCAGTTAATCGAGCTCGCTGCATGTCTGCCTGCTGCTAGACTTTTATTTATTTAATCACTTTATAGAAACTTGACCCTTCAAAAACCTGTGAAGTGTATATATGTTTTTATTCAGTTTTAGTTCAAGTAAAGTAACCAATATAAAGTAAAACGTGTTTGATATTTTTAATTTGCATTATATTAAATGAATAATTAAGTTGCTAACATTCATAGTTGTATACCACTAAACCAATAATTAAATTGATTGCTCTTTCCATAAATCAATATATGGGAGGATCTTAATTCATGATTTCACATTAATTATTTAAATGATATATTATAAGGTAAGTCGCTCATAGAAAAGAGTCTCCCTTGTGTCACAACATTATTTCACAATGTTGTGACAAGAACAAGTGTGGAGAATGTAGGAGTTTCGCAAAGCATTCACATGGGGTATGACAACTGAGATCTCAGGTGTGTTTCCTCTTGACTATTAGATATAAAGGATATTCATGTAAATTATAGCTAATTACTATTTAGTTAGCTTTGGAGAAATTGAGTTAGGTAACTCATATTTAGCTCAATTAGTTAATGAGATATAGTGTTGTATATAAAGAAACAGTGATGCATCAGTAAAGTGTGATTTCATTTTCCCAAAATTTAGTTCAATACACTCCTATTTGCTTTATTAACATGGTATCAAAGCATCGGAGATTCAACCTTAATCTAGGAAATGGGTCAATTCGAATCAATCCTCTATACTTCAGCTAAGCTCATTCAAGCTTAAATATTTGATTTCTTCATTTCATTCCTTGAGTTTTTAGTTCAAAATCTTGGATTTTAGGTTTTGCTCTAGCTCGAAATCTTGAATCAAGTTTGATTCAACCTGAACTCTTTTCTGATTTCTACTTGAATATGACCTTCAAACAATCAATTTGGTATTGATTAATCGATATGGCAACACCGACAGAAGAAGTAACTGTTCAGATGATTGACTCCAACTCGCCCTTGTATGTTCATCCATCAAATACACCAAGCTCTGTACTGGTCTTTAAGCAACTTGTCGGAACTGAAAATTATAGTATTTGGGGTTGACCCATGTCAGTCTCTCTTTGTGCCAAAAACAAACTTGGATTTGTTTATGGTACTTGCACAAAATCGATTGTGCATCCTAGGTTAGTTCCACAATGGGAGAGATACAACTCAATAGTACTTGCATGGATCTTTAATTTAGTTTCAAAGGAAATCTTTAATAGTATAGTTTACTCCACAGGTGCTACACAAGTTTGGCAAGATTTGAAGGAGTAGTACAACAAAGTGAATGGGACTAGAGTTTTTGGATTACATCGGGAAATTTCTAACATGACTCAAGGAACTAATACGATAGCTAGCTATTATAGCAAGCTCAAGTCATTTTGGGATGAAATGGATTCCTTGGTCAGCCTCCCTACACCTGATAGTGTCTCAACAAAGGCATATCTGGAGCACTTAAATCAGCAGAAGCTACTACAGTTTTTAATGGTTTTAAATGAGTCTTATTCAATGGTTTGAAGCCAAATCTTGCTAATGAACCCTTTACTGAGTGTCAACCAGGCTTGTTCAATGGTCAATCAAGATGAAAGCCAAAAAATATTGGCAAGAATGAGTTGGAATCCAGAGATAAGTACTGCACTTTATGCCAATCATACTGGAAATGGCAAATCTTGCTGATGGCCCTTTACCAAGTGTCAAACAGGCTTGTTCAATGTTCAATCCAGAAAATATTGACAAGAATGAGTTTGAATCCAGAGACAAGTATGGCACTTTATGCCAGTCATACTAAAAATGGCAAACATCAAAATCAGGGCCAAAAATATAAGGGAAAAAAACCTTATATTGAATGTGAATTTTGCCATATTCTTGGACACAAATGTGATAGCTGTGACTATCAATTTACCAAAGGAAAAGGAAACTCTAAGTCAAAAGCCACTGCTAATTAGGTGCACACTTCAAAACCATCAACCACTGGAAATTCAGGATCAAGCACTAGGAATTCAAAGTCGATGATTGGTCCTGTTTTGATTGTTAAGCAATACAACCATATCCTCCAACTCTAGGAAAGGAGAACGTTTCTCCACCAGCTGCGAACCTGGCAGGAAATTCTGTTGCCTTGATGTCTTATCTTGATCAAAGTTGCTGGATAATTGATACTGGAGCATCTGACCATATGACATTTGACCATTCTATCCTCCAATCATCCACTACTATAGAACTTTTTGTAAAATACCTTGTATGATTACCTAATGGAACAAAGACTTATGTTAAACATGTAAGATCTATAGTTCTGGACTGTAATTTACACATATTAAATGTCCTGAATGTTTCAGATTTCAATCACAATTTACTTTTAGTCTCCAAACTTGCTGCCTCTAACTAGAGGTGGAACAAATGGGCTGGGTTAGGCGGGTCAACCCTAACCTGGCCCGCAATGAAAAGGGTTCAACCCGGACCGCCAATATGGCGGGCTGGGTTGAACCTGTTAGACCGATCGTCACAGTCTAAAAATTAAACCTAAGTATCGTAGTTAGCGGTAAGCAGGATCGAATCCACAGGGAGCAAGACTAACAACCTAATGTATTTTAAGTAGCGAAAATGAAATTGGCAATGGATTAATGAAACTAAATAGACTAAATGCAAATAATGAAAAAGTGCAATTAAAACTAATAAAAACTTTATAATAAAAATGTTGCCGTTACGGTTTTGGTTCGACACGAGACCGACTCACACAATTCTTCTCCACCCTCTACGATCCCCTAAACATAAAAGGCAAGGTAAATCAATGAAATGGTTTCCGACACTCTAGGTATAATCATCGTCTCACCCGATCACTCAAGTCGATTGGTTAAAGACTATCTTGAACGTCGATAAACGCTACAAGGCAATACCACTAGTTGGTACACGATTAACAAATACAATCTGTCAACACGTAATATCCAATCAACCAACTTCACAATAAACCAACAAGGTAGAAATTAAATTAAATCCAAACACAACTCAATTACAATCGATGCGAAGTAATGTAAGCAATATTCATCATTTAATTATTCCAAACCAATGTTATCATTCAGCAAGTTCTATGAAAACATTAAATCACAATGGAAAACAATATTCATCACAAGTTATGCCCAAATCATATTAAGTACGAAATCAATCATGAAACGAAAACAATATAATCCGAAGCACAATACTACCAAATGTCCATAATCGGGCTCATCCAACTAGTCGAGAGCTGGTGAGGAGAGTCGTGGAGTCAATCCCGATCTCGCCTTGCGTAACAGACAACCAGGAGTTAGCCGCTCATGGTGGTGATGACGGAGGCCGAAACGGTGGAAACGGAGCGCCATGGCGGAGAGGAGGTAACCGACAGCGATATGATGCGAAGAAGGGCGAAAACGACCAACGGATAGCCCGGGATACGAACAGCCGCGGTTCGCGGAAAACGTTAATTTTCCGGCGGGTCTCGGAAAACGGTGGCAGAAAGGGATCCGAAGGTACCAATGGAAAGCTCTGGTGATGGGGAGTTCAGATCAGGTCCTGGGGAGATGAGAAGTGCCGGAAATGAGCAGGATCTGGCCTGGAAGATGAAGAGTCGCAGCGGCTAAATCACAGATTCGGCGGGTTTTCGCAGCGGCTGAAGCAAAGGAAGTGTAGATCTGGGGGGAATGAAGATCTACCTTGGGGAGCTGGAACGTCGCCGGAAATGGCCAAAATTGGCCGGGAACGAAAATGACGCGATGGAAGATGAAACGCCGCGGTGGTGCTTGGTTCACGGTGGTGATGGAGGGCTGATGGTGACCAGAGCAAGGGGGAGGTGAATCGTCGCCGGAAAAGGAGACCATCGTCGCCGGAGCTTGATCGGAGAAGGTGAAGGGTCGCCGGAAAAATGAAGATGAACAGCCCC